TGTGGCATTTTTGTCAAGAGTCTTTGCATCTTCCTGCAACATAACACAAAGCACAAGTAAGAAAAACAAAATACCAAATATTAAAAAAAAAAAAGGAGAAGCAAACAAACCTATGTAATCATTATAACAAATAAACTCCTTCCATGTTTTCCTATGCTTAGCTGCAAAAAACCCTATTCACACCACAGATGGAAAAAACCCAAATCAAACATCAACACATACCAAAATCAGATAAATTTCATGTTACACATATTGGAAACTAATTACATAATGATTTAGACTCAATACCATTAAAGAAAAATATATAATTAATATGAATTCCCTCATTGGCTCAATGGTCCTCGTCGTAGAATCGAAAGTTCATTATCATAAGTATTGGAAGATGTTTTTTACATCACCATTTTCGCAGCAAAACCGGGATCGAAGCATCACCGATAATGAAGGTGGTGGTGTTGTGGGGTTCGACGGTAGCTGATCGTCGTTGTGGTAACCGACAAGCAAAAAACCGTGGATCAACAGAGAGTAGGGTGAAAGGGGGCACTGTCGTGGTTAACTACCCAATCGGCAAGCAGAAAATTATGGATCAACAGAAAAGCTCGTATTTATATAAAAAAAACTTAAAAGATACATAGATACATATAAATACGTAATACATAAAAAACACATAAAAATACATTAAAATATATATAAAATACTTAAAAATACATATAAATACATAAAAAATACATTTATATATTTAAAATACATAAATATCTATATTAACAACTTAAAAAATATATAAATATATAAAAATACATATAAATACGAAACACATAAAACAATAAAAGATAAAAATACATAAAATATATGTAAAATGGTTAAAAATATACAAAAATACATAAAAAATACGTTTATACATTTAAAATACATAAAAATAAACATATAAAAACTTAAAAATGTACATACATATATACGTATATATATATATATATATATATATATATATATATATATATATATATATATATATATATATATATACATTATATACAAATATTAACGGAATTTGCAGAAAAATCCAATTATTTTCGAAAAATTAGCAACTTGGTTCCATGACCTGTTGAACAGGCAAAAAAGGGCTAAAGTGCATAAATTATCCGGTTTCTTAGGATTTTCTGGTCAAAAAGTAAATTTTTTAGGAATTTAGTAAAATTATTTCCAAAATATTGGGACTTTCTAGAGATTTTAGTAGATAATATCCGAAATTAATATAAATAATTGTACAATCATTACAATAAAGTCTTTTCACATTTTAAAGAAGACAATTTTCACTGACTGTATCTATTGCGATGACAAAAAAAAACTAGAGTCAAAGATAGTCTCTATCAAAACTGGGGTTGTTTTTGTGACAATTAGTGCTTAATTCTGGTTAACTGTATGTTGCAATGTCTAGAGTTTAAGAATATATGAGTTAAAAACATTAATTTTAGATACTAACAATAAACTTAGCAATATTACATCTAATGTTGTAGTTAAAGAAATCTTTGAAATTTTTTGATTTAGAATAATTATTTAAAATATGTCAATATGTTTTTTTTATTAATATAGATTGAATACTTATATATATATATATATATATATATATATATATATATAAAATGCAAATTTGGTCAAATGCTAAAAATTAAGAGATACAAACCATTAGTGCATCATGTACAACGAATTTATGCATTAAAAGAATACTGATTCTTATCCAGTCAATATTTATGAAAAAATCAAATAAGATAATGATAAGATTTTGAATTGGTCAAAGTTTGACAAAGTGTTCCTCATATCCAATTGAATCGGTAAATACTAAATCTTACACGGTCAACATTTATAAAAAAATCAAATAAGATGATGATAAGATTTTAAATGGGTCAAACATTGACTAATTGTTTCTCATATCCAATTGAATCGGTAAATACTGAATCTTATCCGGTCAACATTAATAAAAAAGTAAAATAAAATGATGATAAGATTTTGAATAGGTTAAAGTTTGACCAAGTGTTCTTCATATCCATTTTAATCGGTCTAATATGATGTACACGTTATCAAACATTTTATATAAATTGGAAGAGGCACATTGATCTAGCATTCGTCTATCATGAATGTCTAGCCATTCACCGCAAAACCTTGGTTCTCTCTCATGCTCGCTGTCTCCTCCTTTGGTTTTTCTTTCTACTAAAATCGAATGAACCAAAAATGTCTTACGTTTAATCCTAGCTCAGGTATAAAAAATCTCTATCTGTTCGTCATTTTGTTTAACAAATTTTTTATGTTATTTTGTTGATCCGCACCCGTCGCTTTGCGCGGGTAAACGGCTAATATATATATATCCGGTAACAAAATTTTTTTGGTAGTAAGGTAAGAATTTTTTTTTCGACATTTTTTTTTGACGAATAAAAAAAATGAATCACTAGATGATTCATTTATAAGATGATTCACAAGAAAAAATTCTCAGAAAACCATCTTTATGATTAATTTTTAAGTAAATTAAGAAAAAATTCACTTTTATGATAATTTTAGTGAATAACAACAAAATCATTATATAAATGAATAATCGAGATGTTTTTTTGAGAATTTTTTCTTGTGAATTATCTTACAAATGAATCATCTAATGATTCATTTTGTTTGTTTGCGAAAAGAATATGTAGAAAAAAAACTTCTTACCTTCCTACCAAAAATTTCCTTCTTATTTGATCTTGATTATATATATATATATATATATATATATATATATATATATATATATATATATATATATATATATATATATATATATATATATATATATATATATATATATATATATAAAGTTCTATGATTAATTTTAAATACTTAGTTTTGAACAACTTAAGATTTTTTTTCTCATATTTATCCATTTATTATAACCTTGACCGCTTATATAATTTACATTATGATCTAACAATTTTATTGCATCTAATAATTCTTAAAAAGACCCAAACCAAAAGTTTCATTTACTTATAAAAATTCTTAAAATTATTCAACAACTTTTGGTTTGTTAGAAGACGAATTTAAACTTTGTACATTCAAAATCATTTGTTCTTGATATTATGTTGGCGGTTGTCCAGGTTGCCACAGTTAATGAACTTAGACAACTCAAATTTTCAATTGGACAAGACAACCGACTTTGGTTGGGAGACAACTGGGTAGACACAAAAATCTGTACGGTAGATGATCCAACATTAATTTTATGTCCACGTTATGGTGTATTTGGCGATCTCCTTCAACTGGATTAAAAGAGCACACCTATTCTCTTTTAATTGGATTTCTTGGAATTCCCTATTTTCAGCTTGAATCTTTGTTGCAATGGCACCTATTTTAAAAATAATAATTTTATCTGTCAAATATTGAAATTCTAATCAACTAAAATTCTCATTTTGGAACAACTAAAACATAAGGACATGGAAGCAGGTTTGCAAAATATTAATATTCTAAAAGCATAAATATAATTAATTTTACGCAAATAAGTTCATTTTTTTAACAAGCAAGAACGATACCCTAAATATTCCAGTTCTTGCTTTGAGCATTATAGTGGAATATTTTATGGAAGTCTTTATCTGAGTACGGAGATTTGCATGACAACTAGTGTTCATTTCTTGCTTAGAATGGATGGATGTGAATAAAACCTACAAACCCTTTATGTAAGCAGCATCAATTTAAATTTGCATTATCGTTTCTTCTAAGAAGGTCTTTAATGAACTTTAATAGCAAGACAGCTAGGAGGCATACTGAAGTAGGAAGATGATTCGCTTTAATTTGTTTTTATAATCTGATCAGCAACAAAAACAATGAGTAAAAGTGCATTCTGATTCTTCATCCTTTAATACATTTTGATTCCTTATTTATAAATATGTCTATACATTAAGCGACAATCATTCAATCATTCAATCATATCAAATTAAGATCTTAAAAAAACTAAACTTTTTTGTATCCTGCTAAGAGCTAGATACATGATGAACATCTACGTACACTTAAATAATATTTTGTGATATGTGCTAGAATAGACAGCTACGCAAATGTACTTTGATCATTCTTTGCATTAACATTGCTTGAAGAATATGTCCTTTGTATTAAAACCTTATATGGATTTCATGCATGCAAGTATAGCCCTCATATTATAAAAGGCTCAAAGAAGCCAGAATATAGAATAACCTTTGAGACTTTCATGCACATCCTAATAGAACTTAAAGATCTAGAAAAGTTAAATTATATTTATATATGTTAATTAACTACAGTAATTGATAACCTCACCAAATTAATATGGACTTCGACGCGCTTATTTGATTTAAAGTTGGTCGTAAAGGTTATTGTTTTGGGGAAACCACACACAAATGGTAAAATATTCGTCATATATATATTGTATATTTCAGCAACCTCTAATTTATTTATTAAGATGTAAAAAACGAGATTTAAAATCAAGTCTTGAGCATGGAGCCTGAAATTGAACAAATTAACCTAGTGCACAACGTATAGATAAAGCAAAGGTGGTTTAATTTGTAAGTGATAATATTTTGATGCATGGGTGGTAATAAGTGTTAACTCAATATATAGGTTTCATTTTACTATTATAAAAAGACGAAGGTGTACAATTTATTTATATAGTGAACCGGTCAAATAAGAAATCATTGTTCAACAATCGTATCTTCTACCATTTCCGTTCCCTTTCCACTTTCCACTTTGTACTTTCTTTTTACTTTGTCTTATCAATTTCGTCTACGATTTATTTTCCTTTGTAAAATAAGCTATTTTATATTGGTGACTCATGATCAAGGCTTTACTCTAATGGATTCTCCGCTTTTAGCCAACTTATACCTCTTTAACTAGTATAAATAGAAGCCAATGAAACTTGATTTTCATATCACAACGCCACGAATTTCATACCCATTGTCTAACTATAAACTTCTGCTAACAAAACTTTTGAAGGATAACAAAGAGATAAACGAGTTGAAGGTACTATGGGAAGAAACAGTTGGCAAAAGAAAACATCCTACGCCATTCTGAATATATTCAAAGCTAAGAAGACCAGAGGAGATGAAGAGGATGCATGGGATGATTCTCTAAAAGCATACAAAGTTTTTCCTAGTGATCAAGATGGTGTTCGTTGGGTGGCTGAACCTGGTATTGATAAAAGAGCTTCTGCTTATATAAACAATATAACCAACAGGTGGAGCCATCTTGACATTGCAGACTAAACAAAGTTATTCGAAATCTTATATCTACTGATCCCTGATCTGTAGTTCGTTGTCAGGTCACACATTTTATTTTAGCCATTGTCTATTTTAAACAGAATCTAGAAAGTTATAATAAATGCGATACTTGCAGATTTCTTGGTGTTTATCATGTTCATCCCTTATATTGTGCTATACCAGCAGAATAATAGTAATGCGATGTTAATTTCTACTTTCTATAAGTTGTTGGTGCATTTCTCTATGAGTGCGGTCAATTTAATTTCTCATGGGATGTTAATACACAAATTTCGTTTGTCGTATATCGAAACCAAAGTGAAAAATATGGTGCTAAGGGCAGAAGCATTTTTCCGACACAAATGCATGGCCATCTACAAATTGGAAGAAAAGTGTCATGAATGCACACCCTCCTAGAAAAAAAGGCTCATCTGTTGTAAATACCTAGACATAATTGTCATTGAAAGTCATGTCATAAATGAAAATGACAAACAAATAGTATGTCATCAAATATACGACCGACTTCTTAACCTACAATTATGGTAAGACATACACGACGTGCATTTTCGATATACATTTTCGACTGACTTTTTATGTCATAATTTGTAACATGCTTCTAATTCTTGATAGACATTTTACGACGTGTTTTGTATGTCATGAGTTTTGACATAATTTTAATATATATATACACACACACACACACACACACTAGTGGTGTACCCGCGTAAAGCGGCGGCGAAGAATAGTTTCCGAGCGATAATTAACACATTTTGTTGAATAGTTTCTTTGCGGCAATTTGATCAAACCATAAAAACAGTGAAGTATTGAACAAGCTACAAAATATTGATGATTCTTTCATTTCTACAATTAAACCTTGATAAATAAATTTACGTGTTACTTCGTTATAAATATCAATCAACAATCATGTATGTTTGTTTTTTTAAATCATCAATAGATAAAAGTTGATGCATGGATATAATGACATGTTTTGCAATAAACATCAAATTATTATATAGGATAAGTATTGTAACAATTGAAAAATAATGAGTTCTTAATTTTACCTTATTAATCACATAAAACTTCTTTGTACACTACGTTTGATGTGTAGATTGCATCATGATCGAATGTTTTTTTTTTCTGGCTTTAATAATACCATTGTATTAACACATGATATTCCTCTGGATAAGGCCACATAAAGTTGGCCATGTGAGAATACCGATTTTGGTAGATAAACTCCCACGTTTGGAATTGTTTGTCCTTGAGCTTTATTGATCGTCATCGAGAAACTAAGGCGAAGTGGAAATTGCTTTCTCTTCAATTTGAATAGGAGCATCTCATTATCAGACGGACATAGAGGAATTCTTGGCAAAAATACTCTTTTTCCAGCATGTTGACCAATAGCTATTTCTGCGTCAATGACATTTAGCTGGAAAGCTCTACATATCAATCTGGTCCCATTACATAATCCATTTGATGGATCGATATTTCATAATAGTATTATTAGGCAACCAATTTTTAACCGAAGATAATGAGGGGGAAGACCACTAACATTCAGCGAGTTCAAGAACTCCGTCGGATATAAGTTATTACTATCGTATTCCGCTTCATCAAAACTGTAGTAAACTTTTTTCTCTCCTGAAAACCGCTCGATCATTTGGTCATTTATCTCATCAACACTCTCATTTTTAGTTGTCAATATTTCCCTAGAAATGATAAATTTCGTATCAGCTTCGTTGGATTGCAGAGAAGGAAAGATTGCATCAATAAGAGCATCCACTGAGTTAGCTTTATTAGTGTATTTAATAGCTATGTCATCAGGTATGCGAATAAAGTCCTCATCCACTGTTTCCTCATTTCCATCACCAACCCGTAATAAAAAATCTGAAAACCATGGGTCAGTTACTTCTCTCATGTTGATAGTTAACTGAAGCCTTTTAATCGAAGGCCAAAGAGGTGACATTTTTAAGCTAGAGTCAACAATTTGTGCTCGCGTGCCACGCTTTACAACTGGCAACACCTGTCTAAAGTTACCTCCCATAATCATTATCTTTCCACCGAACGGGAGTTTCTCACCTCTGATATCTTGCATTGTTCGATCAACTGCCTCTACTGCTTGCCTCTTAGCCATTAATGCTTCATCCCATATGATTACCTTTGCCTCCCGAAGTAGATGAGCTACCCCACTTTGTTTATTTATTTTGCACATCGAGTTATTTTCAAGATTGATAGGAATTTTAAATCGCGAGTGGGTTGTTCTCCCTCCTGCATTTTATTAGCCGTAACACCTGACGTAGCTGTCGCAAGTGCAATGACACCACGGGCATGGATATTTGCTAATAAAGCTCTATACAAAAACGTCTTTCCAGTTCCACCAAGACCATCTATGAAGAACACAACCGGAACGTTTTCTTCTACATGCCTCATTATCTCATCATATGCGAATTTCTGGTTAGGATTGAGAGAGTATTTTGCATGTAAGTCTTTGTTTTCCACAAGTATAGAGTATTCTTCTTGCACCTTACGACAACCTCTTGCTTGTCAATTAATGTCTTCATTCACATCTGGAAGACCATAACCACTAAGTTTCTTTCCCAAAGATTGTAAGAAGACTTTGATTTCGATGAGGACCATATTCTGGATTCGTTCAGAACACGCATATTGTTTCCTATAATCTTCAGAAAGAGAATCATAGTGGTCACACCATAACTTACGAACATCGCCCGGTTCACAAAAAATCAATATCATAGCAAATAGCCTTCTAAGTGCATTGGGGTATTGAAATAAGGAAGCCTCTGCAAGACATTGGGACACGTTATCATCAGTCTCTATTAATCCTCTCTCAAGAGCTGCTTTTTGAAATGTAGGATGTAATACAACATTGGTTGTGTATATATCTTCAAAGAAAGTAGGCCCATTAATATGACATAAAAGAAGGCGTAGGTAGTACCTCTCTCCTTCAGCTGGATTAGTATAAACCAGTCTTCCTATCACTGATTTTAGTTTTCAGGGACTCCAACAATGTGTGCTCGAATTCCATGTGAAATGCTTGGGGAAATCCTTGTACAAATATTTTCTAGCATTGGAGTCTTCTTTATTCTTCTCAAAAAATGCTGTCAAAATTGAATTCTTATCTTTCTCCCTTTCAACAATATCTTCCACTCTATCACCATCTTTGAACTTAACTAACTATTGATTCAGCAGATGTATTTTTCAAAGCCATCACATAAGGGTAGATCTAAGAAAGTGGAAAGCAAAAAATCCGCCACATCGCCTCAGGAGGGTATACATAATGCGCATCTTGAAAAATGCGTATTTCATTAATCGTGTCATTTTCTTTGTCTTTATCAATATGGATAACTTGTTTATCATGACCCTTATAAACATACTTGAAGATGTACTTCACAATTTTTATACTCGAACAAACCTCAACGTTGATATGACAATTGAACACCATTAGCAACTTTGGGTTGTACAGAGCCACCCATCTATTATCCAATTTTGTATTTCTTATATTCACCTCAATTCCATTATTTCTCCTTCTATATAATGGATATGAGTCTTTTTCTTGTGATGTTTTGTCGTTGAATTGCCTAGAATACTTGAAATGACATTTTTTGGGCACACCCTCCATACATGGAATTTTTTCTCGTAAACTACCACAAGGACCATGAATCATATGATTTTTAACTAGATGATGCATTGCAGGATACTTTATTGGATCTGGAATTGTAGCGCAAACGATTTTGTCATAATCGTTTGGATTTGTCATCTTATGTCCAGGTCTCATTATTAGGAGGAAATGTGCATGTGGCAATCCACGCTTTTGAAACTCTACCACATATACATGTGCTCCTACCTCACCAATGACATTCCTCTTCAATAATTGTACCTTGAGATCCTCTAATTTAGCACAAAAAACTCTTGCAACAAGATCTGGTCGATCTTGAGCTGTTTCTCCAGGCAATAACTCATCTACAATTTCTTTCCAATTTGGGTTTCATGTCATTGTAAGGAATATATCAGGCCTACCATTCTCTTGACCTAATGTCATGGCATCCAGAAATCGCCTTCGCATGTCACGTGGGCCTCCAATGAAACTTGAAGGTAACACAACTCGTTGTCGAACCATACTTGTTTGACCCTCACCAGCATCAAAGCAATCAACAATACCTTAATATAAATCAACTCTAATTTTGGTTTGTTTTTTTTTCACAAAAAACCAAACGTGAAGTCTCAATCTTTATGTACGTATCTACCACAAAATTTTGGAACAATCTCCCTCCCAATAGAATTACGTTATGATTTGAATGTATTTGGAATTTGTAACAATAATACTCGTGCATAGTTACAGTATTCCTACCTCCAATTGAATTAGAATATGTGATATCATAATTTACATTATATTTATAACATTTTTTATGTGTACGCTTAAGGTAATAGTTGTTATTTGTAATACAAATGTAAAATATAATGTTTAAGGCATACTTTCCAAATCATCGTCAGCATTTTCATTTTTAGTAATAATCTCATCGATGGAGACTCCCTGTCTTGGTATTTTAGGATGCCATCCAGACTCTCCGTTAGGAAACAATAAAGGATAAGACAACGGATCATAACAACCATAACGAGGTTGAATTGTTTTAGTATGGTCTGACCTCCCATACACAATAATACTTCTCTTATATGCAGTGATGTTCTCATTGCGTTCGACCCAAATACCAGCAACCTATGTAAATGTATGGTTCAATAACGTAAATAATATGTATATCTTTCATAATAAATATAACACATTTTATTTTAAATAACATAAAGATAAGTAATAGCATTCAAACCTCAGATGTGGTCGACTTATTGTACACCCTCTGGTCAAGTTCCACCGATGCATTCAAAGTCACTCTATAATTGTCAAGTGGACCTAGATTTGAAAGACGTCGAAATGTTCTAACATATGGGTTCGAAGAAAGAATATGAGTAAGTTTTTCAATGATTTTTCTATCAACATTCAGGTGCTTAGCTCTCTATGATAATTCATTCTGACCATCATAAAAGTACAACTGCAAGTACTTCGGCTCGCCTTCCCTTGAATGTTCCGTGCGTACAAAAAGTATATACTCTAGAAGTCATTTTCTCCAATTCCTTATCCACCTTGACACCCAATGATGTGAATTTTTTTTTGAGTTGTACGCCCTTATGGTGTGCCTGAAAACTTCTTCTAGACGATCTTGCTTTGTGAATAGTTGGAGCAATTCTGTGGGAATAGGGGAGTATGCTAGTTTTGTCTTCCTACTCATGCAACAAAAGGTAGGGAATTCAAACTGTATTAGTTTTGCTCTGTAATGAACAAAATGATTTTGAGGTTTTAAGACACGATATTCCATAGGGATGTTTTTGTAAAAAAAATCATATGGATCCTCCAG